GGGGTGTAGTCCCTTATGTACAAAAGTTGATGTACAAGTAGAATTTTCCTGCTACAGTAGCGCGGGCTCCACCCCACTCACATTATGTAATCCCCTATGGATCAATATATATACATATAGATTAATCTTTGATTAAAATTCAAAATTGATCTCTAATATGTTGTATATATCATCAAATAGTGTTGTTTAGATGTCTTTTATTTTCTTTCAAGTAAAAATAAAACTACGATGCATAGGTAATGTAAATATCGTAGAGTCACTCTATCGATCTAAATAACTTTCCTAAAGTTAGATCGTGCTCTTCACAATCCGTTTTCCTATTTGCAAGCTTGACCGATTATAAAAGAATTTTATAAACATGGTGTATCTTGCTCATGTTACAATTTTTTTTTACCAATCCATGGATGTAAGTTTGATTCAACATACTCCGAAAATAAAAGTTTTTTTTTTTCTATTCTAGAGAATCAATGTTTAAAAATAAATTTCGAAAGACATCTATTTTATACTGATTGCATTTAATATGTTATATATTTCAATTTTCTAAATTATTCAAATTATATTTGAATTGATTGTGAATTGACATCTAAAAAAATATGATAAATAAAAGATGATGAAAAATCGACGAAAACCCAAAAAGCATTGTCCAAGTGTATAAAAAATTTAGGGTATGTTCTCTTTATTATTTTTAAGTCGTTTTCTGTTTTCGATTTTTCAAAATAGTGAAAACGCGTTCTCTTTTCTATTTTCGAAAACGCGTTTTTGAAAACAAATTAAAAATTTACAAAGAAAACCCAAAACGACAAAATTTTGGGTGTTTTCAGTTATAATCTAGTCAAAAATTTCAAAACTCGTTTTGGATGTTTTGAAAACAATTTTCAAAATGCCAAAAAGAACACATTTTCAACCGTCTCAAAATGAACACTCAAAACACAAAACTCAAAATGAATTCAAAACTCAAAACATAAAACTGAAACACAAAGAGAATGACTCCTACTTTTTAAAATTAAGATACTCTCTATATACTTACAATGCTCATCATAAATAATGTCTCTCTTAAAATGTACCTGTCAAAACTTGCTTATATATATTTGGAAAAATGCTGGGTGTACAGTTAGTAAATGCCAGAAACTGTACAGAAAATTAAAAAACTCACGTGAAAGGGGCGTGCCTGGCTGAAACGCGATATGTTAGACAAAATGGAGGGATTTGGC